CACACGCACTAGTCTAGGCTTCACGTAATGTATGTGTGCGCTCTGTAGGGATGTTTTGAATGGTTTTTGCAAAATACTCGATAATGTCAAATCGCACATCATTAAAACAATTACAATATTATCGCAGACGATATATATCGCACACCCCTAGTTAAGTACACTCTGTCTACAGGACGCGAGCGGCGCGGCGCCAAACAAAAAAATACTATAGAACTCATAATCAGTTTCCCAACAAGGTCCATCGCCCAACGCACAATTAATTTGCTGAATGCATAAACTGTATTTTCCTGAGCTGAAACCTGCCAATCTAAAGGAAATGCTGTGTATGGCGTTTGAGGTCATTTGTGAATTACCATAGACTTATAGTCTAAATAAAACAATTTGCAACTATTACTGTTATTACACTTGTATACAAAACTTCGTATTATGCTTGTTATAGTGTGCGCGACGTCACGTGCACTATTGCTGGTTGCCACCGCGGTGACGCGGTTGTCACGGCGACTGTCACAGCCCTAATTATGTCCCCACTGGATGCAACAAATGCCTCGTTTATAATGGGTTTTCATGTTTTTGTCTCGACTGTTTCTATTAGTGATGTCCCGTTCGCGAATGAATCGTTCGATTTAACCAGTTCTTCTTAGTGAACCGGTTGAACCAGTTCACCAAATCGGACTGAATCGTTGAAAAGTGTAAGCACTAATCCACAAATTACTTAAGTTATTCACTTTTTAACGTGGCTGGCACTCCCCCTGAGTCGAAAATAAACCAATATCCCGGAGTTATTAATTTACTCAAACAGTACACTGAGTGAACTGCTGTGAAGAGAGAACTGAAGATGAACACGAGCAGAGCAGCATGTGTGCAGCGAGCCGGATAACGAACGTACACGCCCACTGCTGGAGCGGTTCTCGTTCTCGAGTCAAGAACCGGTTGCATCGGTTTTCGGATCACCAGTACACTGAACCGAGAACCGTTTCTTTCGGACACGTCCGATTTGAGAATTGATAAACGGATGATACTGCGCATGCGTGATTCAGCGTGAAGCTACCGAACAGATTGCCTACTATAACTGACACAGCACGTCTGAACTGAACTGGTTCTTTTGGACAACTGATTCTGTGCTAATGTTATGAGCCCGCGCGGGTAAACCGAGGACTTGAATGAAGGGCGATCTGGCGAAACGTAAGTTTATTTAATAACAAATAAATCGCAATGGATTATGTATAGTAAGTGGATTATGGTTTCATCAGCTGATGACAACTGATTTATTTACTTTATATCTTCAAGACTTAAATCCTGGTATGCAGATCACTGCCTGTTACTGTATTTTGGTGCTTAGTTGCAAAACTTAATTGTAAACTTTTCAGATCATAATTATGATGTTTTAACTGACTGAAGTTATGATTACTGACTTTATATATTTGAATGTGTATTTTTATCCCGGCCCGGGACGATAGACTTCATATCATTACGTCATCGCGAATGAAGTCATTACGTTAGGGCGTAAAAGAACCGATTAAGCGTTTTTTTTAACCGGTTCATTGAAATGAACTGTCCGAAAGAACCGGTTCGCGGAAAAGAACCGGACTTCCCATCACTAATGTTTACAGTATGTTTACACGGCGTTTTAAATCATGGCGGGTGAGGGCGTTTTCGTACGCGTTTGGCCAATCAATGTACCAAATAATGTTCTTTTTAGCAACATCATATGACCCCTTTAAGAACAGCAGCAATGTGAGGCAGCTGTCATTCCGCATTCATTAACAAGTGTAGTGCAGCGCTGACTCCCATTCAATCAATTCGGTGAATTATATGGATTTAAACCACATTGCAGGCAGGCAATCACACCCTATATACACTACAGATCATGCTCAAATTCATAATCACTCAACTGAAGCAGAACTAGCGCACTCGCCCGCACCGCTAATGTATATAATATAGAGTGCTCACCAAAGCCCTTGATCAGCTCTGTGAAAACCCCCGGGTCGCTTTCCATGAGACACCATTCCCCAGCGCTTCCCGCCATCTCTGGAATTATGTTGTTTTATTGGAAACAGAAAATTGTGCTCGTGTAGCGGTTAGACGAGGCTAATGGGGCTCACTCGCACATACAGTAGTTTTCCCGGCATTCCTTTCGACACGCGTCATTCTTTTGCTTCACGTGGTGCCTTAGAACTGTGAGGCGCGCTTCTGCCTCCACGTGTCCAGGAGCGAATTCTAGCCATTCTTTATCTTTTTACAAGACTTGTTGTTCTGGCACCTGTCATTTGCGCTAAGGTCTCCTGGAGACGTCTACCATCATTGTGTTCATCCAGTTCAACAACTTTATATGCAGCTCCGATCTCATTAAAGACATTCTTCGCCATCTTACAGTATGGGCATGTGGTTTTGGAGAATATCACAACACAGTTACTGGACACAACATCCTGTATAAAAAAGATCCAGGTTAATAAATAAAAACAGGTATCGAAGGCATAAGATATACATAAAGGCTGCACGAGTTGGGGAAGTTGCTTTGGTTGTTTTTTGTAGGGCTGCACAAATTGGCCAAACATTTTGTGATAATATTTCAATATGACTAAATGATTATTATTAATAAAAATTATATACATATATATATATATATATATATGCATCTGAAATTGCATACTGTCTGAGTAGGTACTACATTTGAATTTACTTCATCACGACCACTGTTAAAAAGTATGTTTTATATAGTATATTATATACTTCACTGCCATTCATAAATCCTCTTCCTTGGCCTCATAGTATAGTAAAGTGTCCATAGAATGCGCACTTCAGAATTCAAGCGGAAGTAGGTCATCTGGGTACTGCTACTGTTTTTCAAATACTATGAATTCGGACATACTACTCGCCTTGCTTT